TGAAAAGACCAATTTAAAACAAATTAATAAACAATAAAGACCAAATTGAGGGTTTAATCGAAATTCTAATCTCCAACTTTAATACTATATCAAATTAACTAAGAATAGTTCACATGAATACATTTTAAAGACTATTTAAATTAATTATTTAAATATAATAATTATTTAATATTTAGTAATAATAATTATTTATGATTAAAACTATATAGTCTAGCTTCAATTAAACCAACTGTTAAGAAATAAAACTCAAAAAAAAAAAAAAAAAACCAATTGTTAAGAAATGGTTCATAAAACTCCAAAAACAAATGAGTTGTCTTTTGTTGGCCAAACTCGGAGCTACCCACGTCATTCCCTCGTTGGAAAATAAATAAGAAAACACCATGGGAAGACCCAGCCCGGCCCACATCTTCTAGAAAGTCAGTGAGAATATCTCCTTTCTCCCTCACTGACGACGACAAATTCCATCACTGTTTTCTGCTTGTTTCGTGATTCATCCTCCCTAGTCCCGTACTGTCTCCAAATCCTAAAAGTTCGAAGAAAAAAAAACCAATAAAAACCAACACCAGCAACCATCACTGGTCTCCCATCCCACCAACTCCTTTCCAAATCCCAAACAGTAAAGACCCACGCACATTGACACCTGGAATCTCTCTTTCGCGCGCACACAGACACACAAACAAAAACCAAGTAAAGCAACTCTCACGCCCTAAAAAAAAAAAAAAAAAAAAAAACCAAAAAAGTTCTCCAAAAGCCACACTAACCCCACTACATAGTGCTACCTGTCGCCTTCAATTGCGACTTCCGCACCACTCATTTCCCTTCTTTTATATAAACAGGTTTGGTGTTGTTTTTTTGTTTTTGATATGAATCAACAAGGTTCGGGCGAGGAGGAGGAGGAGGAGGAGGAGGAGGAGGAGGACGAGCCGGTTGAGGCGGAGGAGGTTAAGGAAAAGGCGGTTTCGTCTTGTGGAGAAGAGGAGGGAGCTGGGGTGGTGGTGGAGAAGCAGGAGAATTCAATGGAGGATGATTCGGTGAGTCCGGCTACTGTGTTTTGTATTAGGCTTAAACAGCCTAGGTCCAATTTGCAGCATAAGATGAGCGTTCCGGAGTTGTGCAGGAATTTCAGGTTAGAATTGGAGCTGGAATCGTGTTTGGATGCTATGATTTTTTTGGCTTCTTAGTTTTTTGACTGATGCTTTGTTGTTCTTTCAGTGCTGTGGCTTGGTGTGGGAAGTTGAATGCCATCGCCTGTGCTTCTGAAACTTGTGCGAGAATCCCAAGGTCAGTTAGTCAGTTTATTAAAATTTTAGTTGTGATTGTAGTTCATAGATGTTCTGGAAATTATGTATTTGTTTACTTGAATTAGTTTCTTTGTCATCCAACTTATCCTGGGAGTAGTTAATCTAGAGTTCATTCGGTGAAAGCATTTCATCATAATAATTTAGTCCTGTTTTACTATTGTAGTTCTAATGCAAATCCACCCTTTTGGATCCCGATACATGTTGTGATCCCAGAGCGTCCAACTGAGTGTTCAGTGTTCAATGTCATAGCAGGTATATTGATCTACTTACAGCTCTTATATTGCTATAATTGTAAGTTATTTGTCCTTATAGTCAAGCTTAATGTGTGAGGATTACTTTTCAGTATCTGTCATAAGCTCTTTTCTTCTCTCTTCTCTTTTTTTTTTTTTAGGCTTCTTCTTCTCACAATCTAGAAACTAGAAATTTGATGGTGCTCTTGTCCTCTTAATACAACTGATAAAAGTTCACAGTTCACACTTAAAAGAGAAAGGTTAGGCTAATAATCATTAGGGATATAATGATATCAAAGAGGAATGCTGGGTTAATTATTCGGGGTATAGTGGGTGGCAAAATAAGATTTGAGGATCTTTAGTGCAAGTGCTAGAATAGTAGAATGTCAATCTCAACATCTACTCTAGCAGTCTAGAATGAGGTGTCTTTGTTGGATGTGTGTTAACTTTAGTTAATGTTTTGGCTATGTCATATTTTTGTGAATATAATTATTTGTCTCGCACACACCTCTTGCAGATTCTCCTCGTGATTCTGTCCAATTTATTGAATGGTCCCCAACTTCTTGTCCTCGTGCCTTATTGGTAGCTAATTTTCATGGGAGGATAACCATCTGGACACAGCCTTCTCAAGTAAGCCAGAGCCACTGTTTATTTTATTTTTGGTCCAAATATTTTCAGTTGTCTGCTTGTAAGTCTTTAACATTCTTTTCTGCACGATGCTGTAATTATAGTGACTAATTTGTGGCCTTTTTTTAGACTTCTTCCTGCTATGGTTGTATAGGTTCTACTTATTGGTTGCAATAGAATCTTATATGGTTTAAATTTGGCATGTTCATGCAGGGGCCAGCCAATCTTGTTTGTGATGCTAGTTGCTGGCAGTGTGAGCATGAATGGCGGCAGGATATAGCAGTGGTTACCAAGTGGCTGTCAGGCCTGTCTCCGGTATGCTGTATGCAGTTATTTGATAGTTGGCAAGACATATCATTAATGTGTAAATTTTCATGTAACAGGTGCTTGAATTCCAGTGTTTCAGTGGTTTGTAGCACTTTAAAGCACCCTCCATTTCAAAAATAAATAGAAGAATAAAATTTGAAAAAGACAGACTCATTATACTGCTATATTGTGAATATTTTTTTTCTGCCAAAAAAAAAAAAAAACTGAAAAATTTAGAAAAAAGAAAAGGAATCAAGTTTGATTGGATGGTTTCATGTCTAGGAAATGTTCTTGTATTTGAAAATTGAAATGATTTTTGAAGTTGGCTGAGTAAATCTGCATCTAATTTAAATTGAGGGCTCTAGCCAGTCCTGTCTATTGATGCAGTGAACCTTTTGAAACTTAATGTTGTTGGATCATGGATGAGCTTTTCTATCATCTGATGGAGAATACTTTACTCTCCTTATAATCTTCTTTAATCATTATTTTATGTTTTTTTTCATCATTGTTTGAATTGATTGTCATGGAATTATATTTCAAAATCCTCTGTCGCCCATGTTGATTCAGATTCTGATCCTCTGTCACTTTGGTTTTTCTGCTTTTGAGCGATGATATAGCTTTATTTGTTCTATAAATCAGTATAGGTGGCTTTCCACAAAATCCAGTAGTCTAGGGAACTCAAAGTCAACTTTTGAGGAAAAATTCCTTTCCCAGCAGTCTCAAAACTCAGGTTTGTTCGTTGTATTCTTCTCATGAAGTGATTCTAGTTATCACTTCCCAAGTGTTTTAGGTCTTACAAATCATTCATATCTACACGGTATTGCAATAAAAAAAAAAAAAAAATCCTCTATTGCAATAAAAATTAGTTCCTGTATTGAGATCATGTACATTTGAATTAGCATGATACAATTGTGGTTCATTGGGCATAAAGCCATAAACATTTGGAACTTTGTAAGAGCTTGACTAATTAATTGGTTTGGGGATTTATTATGATATAAAATACTTCTCAAATGATGAATTCTTTTGATCATAACTCACCCAATTGGTTGTCTTTGTTAACTTTATTGTTTGTGGACAAATCTTTGCAGAACCTGTCATCTTGAACTGATGAATGTTTATGTTGATTTCAGCTAGGTGGCCCAATTTTCTTTGTGTTTGCTCTGTCTTTTCATCTGGGTCTGTTCAACTTCATTGGGCCCAGTGGCCTCCTACTCAGGACAATACAGCACGGAGGTGGTTTTGCACAAGCAAAGGACTCTTAGGCGCTGGACCTAGTGGGATCATGGCTGCTGATGCAATAATAACAGATAGTGGTGCCTTGCATGTTGCTGGTGTGCCAATTGTCAATCCATCTACTATTGTTGTTTGGGAGGTCACTTCTGGCACTGGTAGTGGATTTCAGGCAACTCCAAAGACAACCACTATCAATGGGGTCCCACCTTCACTTAATCCACCCAGTTGGGCAGGTTTTGCCCCATTGGCTGCATATTTATTTAGCTGGCAGGAATATTTAATGTCTGAAATAAAACAGGGGAAGAAGTCAACAGATAAAGATTTAAGTGACATTGTTTCACTTCATTGCTCGCCAGTTTCAAATTTTTCTGCATATGTGAGTCCTGAGGCTGCAGCTCAATCTGCTGCAACAACTACATGGGGGTCTGGAGTAACTGCAGTTGCCTTTGATCCAACTCGTGGTGGTTCTGTCATTGCTGTTGTGATAGTTGAGGGTACAATTTCTGCTTTTCAATGTTTTGAATCTTTGATGTTGTGTTAATAGAGCATGCATTAATTCATTCTTAATGGTTGGTCAATTTGGTATTCTGCCTCTTGAAGTTTCTTTCTTGTCAAATCAACTTTTAAAAAGATTAAATCCTTATGATGTTCTTTTCAAGATAAAAGTTTTTTTACTAGAATATAATAAAAGAGTAAAGGCTATTTAACTGCTGAGTAACTAACAAGTCGTTGTAGTCAACATTACCGAACATTACCATACTAAACCATAGCCATCTCCCTCAGACACATATGCATGGGACAATGTCCCTCAACTTCTCATGTTTGTTTTGAGAGTATCTTTAATGTATTTGCAAGTAATTGACTTTATGTTTCCAATAACTGATTTTGAATTTCCAGGACAATATATGTCTCCCTATGATCCGGATGAGGGTCCTACCATCACAGGATGGAGAGTGCAACGTTGGGAGTCATCTCTACAGCCTGTTGTTCTTCATCAGATATTTGGAAACCCTTCTTCCAGTTTTGGGGGGCAGGCACCTATGCAAACTGTTTGGGTTTCCAAGGTTGATACCAGTATACCACCAACTAATGACTTTAAGAGTTACCAATTAATTGCAGCGGGACCACCATCTGACGCAAGAAAAATTCCTGATCCCAGTGTTGAAAAGGCAAAAAGAGTCAGTTTTGATCCATTTGACCTGCCAAGTGATGTTAGAACTCTTGCTCGAATTGTTTACTCTGCTCATGGTGGTGAGATTGCCATTGCATTTATAAGAGGTGGAGTGCATATTTTTTCTGGTCCAAACTTTTCCCCTGTTGATAACTACCAAATCAATGTTGGATCTGCAATTGCTGCTCCTGCCTTTTCTTCAACAAGCTGTTGTTCAGCTTCTGTTTGGCATGATACTAACAGGGACCGCACAATACTGAAGATAATTCGTGTGCTTCCTCCTGTTGGTCCTAGTAGTCAAATAAAGGCCAACTCATCAACTTGGGAACGTGCAATTGCTGAGAGGTATTTTCTATAAAGGCCATTATTACTTAATACTGGTTGGGATGACATAATACTTCACATTGTACTGCTTTTGAAATATTTCCATGTTATTTTATGAAGTTCAGTGAATCCTCATATGCTATTTGAATGGTTGATGCTTTGGCATGAATCTTCCCTAACATGCTGTTAATGGTATGACTAACACACTGTTTGAACTCTCAGATCCTCACATTTTTCTTTTTTCTTTGATTAGCATTTGTTTTGAATGGTTTCTTTACAACAAGTTTTGTCTTGTTATTTGTAATTTTCTTGATCTACATGTAATAATTTCTACAGTAGGTTGAGTAAACTGCTCCAAATATTTATCTATTTATTGGGGTAAGAATCAATTTTATGTGATAAATAGCAAAAGGGCTTGGCCTTTCAATATCCTGTAAATCCTTGTCCATATTCTGCACTTTTGGCTCTTAATTAAATAGCAAAAGGGCGTGGCCTTTCAATATCCTGTAAATCCTTGTCCACATTCTGCACTTTTGGCACTTTTGGCTCTTATTTATTTATGTATTCATTGGGGTAAGAATCAATTTTGTGTGATAAATAGCAAAAGGGCTTGGCCTTTCAATATCCTGTAGATCCTTGTCCATATTCCGCACTTTTGGCTCTTAATTAAATAAATCACTGTTTTCTTAGCATTTAACTTCAAGAGACTGAATTTAGGTAGTTTTAGATCAGGTTTTGGTGGAGCCTTTTGGTTGGAGTTGATTGGTGGGATGCTATTGGCTGTACTCAGAGTGCTGCTGAGGATGGCATTGGTAAGGCCTTTACTTTTCTTTGATTTTTTTTTTTTTTGGGGTTAATAGCTTGGGAAAAGTGATTTCTTTTTATTCCCTTAAAATTTTGTGTTAGTTACTTTTTTTTCCTTTCAAATTCATTTTACAGAAACATTTATGTTTTGTGAATTATGCCAGTTGCTGATGATGGTGGTTCTTGTGTCTCTCAGTTTCTTTGAACAGTGTCATTGCTGTCCTGGATGCAGATTTTCACTCTCTACCTTCTATTCAGCATAGGCAACAGTATGGTCCTGTATGTGACTTTGGACTTAGCATTTCCCCATCTGATTCTCATCTAGTTATCTATATTTAAATGATATGTTCTAGTTTTTATTTTGTCTGAATATGCTAAGTAGAAGTATGGTACCTTATTGCGGTTGTCAAATCATCTTTGATTGCAACATAATCTTAGATTCTAATTTCTTTCTTTCTTTCTTGTTTTTAAATTCTTTTTAATTTTTATCAGTTTGATTTAATAAGCTTGTTACTTAACATTTGCAGAGTTTAGACAGGATAAAATGCAGGCTACTGGAAGGTACAAATGCCCAAGAGGTTAGGGCAATGGTTCTAGACATGCAAGCTAGGTTGTTGCTGGACATGCTGGGGAAAGGAATTGAGTCAGCATTGATAAATCCTTCAGCTTTGGTACCTGAGCCATGGCAAGCAACTAGTGACATGTTAACCAACATTGGTGCCGAAGCAATGGCTGTTGATCCGGCCCTTGTTCAGAGTATTCAGGTACAGTTTGCTGTATTTTGACTTTGTGCATATTGAGTTATTATTGGTTTTACTGGAGTTTTAAATTTTGAAACAAACTGTTGCTGCTGATGGCATTGTTGTTCAATGCTTTGATGCCTCCTTATATGGTGGGCATTCATCATGTTATTTCCTAGGTGGAATTCTTTCTTCACTGCTCCTCACATTCAAGGTTTGATTAACTGCTATAGAGGGCAATGTGGTGAGATAGTCATAGATTCTACTTCAAACTCTAAAGCAATTTTCTAATGCATATTCCGGAATAAGAAGATTCAAACCTGGACTTCCTAGGGCATTAGCCTTAACCACTGGTGACCAGTACCTTATTTGCACCATATGGTGCAATTAAATTCTTTTGGTCGTTACTAATTCATTATTGGGCTTTGTTTTTAACCTGACCAAAGTTATATCCTCCAGTCAGCTTGTATGTCCCCTAATTCATATTTTATAAAAGAAAAATATTATGAAATTCTGTTGACTGAAGATTTTCTAACTGCTGCAACATTCAGGCATACGTTGATGCTGTTCTGGATCTAGCTTCACATTTTATAACACGTTTGCGGCGTTATGCAAGTTTCTGTCGCACTTTGGCAAGCCATGCTGTTAATACAGGTACTAGCAGCAACCGGAATGCAGTGGCTAGTCCCACCCAAAGCACAACAACTCCTGCAACAAGTCAGGGTCAGTATTCAAAAGCATTGTGATACTGAAATGTTAGTGGACCAGGGAACTTTATTTGTGTTATTCTGTTTTTGTTTACTTTGAAGGAGCAAACAACTGTGCAGGTCTACGTAATTGGAGTTACTGTATGTACCAGCTTAAATCATATCTACTCCCTGTTCTTAAGCAGGTCAAAGCGGTACCACAAGTTCAACAGGAAGCACACAGATGCAAGCTTGGGTACAAGGTGCCATTGCCAAGATAAGTAGCTCTAGTGATGGTGTCTCTAGTTCAACTCCAAACCCCATAAGTGGGCCGTCACCCTTCATACCAATTTCCATTAATACTGGAACTTTTCCTGGAACACCCGCTGTTAGGCTCATTGGGGACTGCCATTTCCTTCATAGATTGTGTCAACTTTTGCTTTTCTGCTTTTTCTTTCGGCGTACACAACAATCTCGGTTTGTTCAAAGAAGTGCTGATACAAATACCCAAAAACCTCAACCTGGGGCGCCTGCCAAAATGGAGGAGGTCAATTCTGTTTCTGCTAAAACATCAACTATGACTGTGTCAGAAGAAGGCCAAGGAGCTAGAGCTGGCCAGGGGATACCTGCAACTAAAGCAGTTGAGGAAGCTCCTGCTGGCCGCTTGAAGTTGGGTACTGGAAATGCTGGTCAAGGATACACTTTTGAGGAGGTGGTAACTGGCTTCTATCATTATTATCATTTCTGCTACTCCCAGATTTGGTCTCCACATAGAATAATTGAGAAGAGTTCTTTGAATTTCATATTAAAGTGTGAGATTGTAAATAAAATGTGTGTTTGGTTATCTGTGGTAATGGTTAGAATTTTGTCACTAGGTTTGACACAATGAACTTCATCTATTGCTGTTTTGCAGGTCAAGGTTCTTTTCCTTATACTTATGGATCTCTGCCGACGAACTGCTGCTTTAGCACACCCTCTACCAGTTTCTCAGGTGGGGAGCACTAACATCCAAGTGCGACTCCATTACATTGATGGGAACTACACTGTATTGCCTGAGGTAGTAGAGGCATCTCTTGGCCCACATATGCAGGTATTTACATTTGCCATCAAATTCTGCAGAAACATATTAACAGGGATGTTGCCAATAAGGTGTACTACTTGGAAACTCTGATATAGTTGTGTTGGAAGAAATGAATTAAAGTCTTTGTATTTCTTTAATTTGAGTTGAATTGCTCTTTTCGTCTGTACTTATCTCGATTTCTTTGGTATAAAGAATATGCCTCGGCCAAGGGGTGCAGATGCTGCAGGCCTGTTGCTTCGTGAATTAGAACTCCACCCTCCAGCTGAAGAGTGGCACAGGAGGAACATGTTTGGGGGCCAATGGTCTGATCCAGAGGATAATGCTCCAGCAGATGATTTGTCCAAACTAAGTAATTCCATAGACTCACTGAATGTGAGCTCCTTAGGAAACTCTGATATCTATCATGAAGCCCAACGCCTTTGGCCAAGGAAGCGTAGGATGTCTGAAAGAGATGCTGCTTTTGGCTTAAACACTTCTGTGGGGCTAGGAGCATATGTTGGTATAATGGGATCTCGAAGAGATGTTGTTACTTCAGTGTGGAAGACTGGTCTTGAAGGTGTTTGGTACAAGGTTTGAGATAAAGCCTCCTTATTTTATTTCTCCTCTTGATTTGTTGGCCTATCTTTCTGATTCTGATTTCAGTTCAGCCTTTTGCTTTAATTAGATACGGAGCTTAGATATGACATGCACGTATACTCCGTGAGCTGTGTTGATTGCACAATATAGCTTTCGGCAGTTAAAGTTTTAAAATGGATGAATTGAGGAAATCACATGATATAACATATACCTAATATTTTTTTGTTGCTTGTCTCTCGTATTTTACTTTCTGATCTCTTATTGCGATTTGGACTGCTTTTGATCCAGTGCATAAGATGCTTGCGGCAGACTTCAGCTTTTGCTTCACCAGGTTCAACCAATCAACCCTGTCAGAATGATCGAGAAGTATGGTGGATCAGCCGTTGGGCCTTTGGCTGCCCTATGTGTGGTGGAACATGGGTTCGAGTTGTATAGATGACAATCCTGGCTGAATGATTTTTAGTTGGATTCGTTATGCACTCTCTTTATCTGGAACATAATAAGAAATATTTCACTGACAAAATTATCATCTGAAACTGATGGATTAGACAGGCTAGTTTTCTTTACTCGATAACTCGGCACTTGATATCTGCAGTCTAATTTTTGATTTGGATCTCATATGTCAAAACTGTTAAAGGCTGATTCCAGGTGCCATGCACAAAATTTCTTGGTAGCAAATTGAAGGCCAACCAATCAGGCAGGTTTCTCCATTAATGACAAATCCATTTTTCTTTTATGGCACTGCACGTTCTATTGTTGTTCATGATTCCAGAAAGAGTCTGTCAGCCATTTTTTGGCCACTTGTCGGCTAGGTTTAAATAGGTTAAAATTGTCTATAATTCAAATTACGGGCCAATAAATTAATATCATTGACTAAAACCATTAGTTTTTTCCGGTGTCATTATCTCGCTGATCAACCGAGTTTGCAATGCCGTTGTAACGTTTATTTTGCAATACCATGTTTTCTCTCTTTTTTTTTTCGATTTTTCGTCCGGTATCCAAGGCTTCGCCCCGATTAATTCGGATCCAACCCGCGTCGTACACCTGGAAATGGTGGGTGAGTCTCCTAGCGAGGACTATTGCATTCACAAAGTTTCGAACTCGAGACCTTGCTTAAGCTTGAACAAACCGCTTACCACTTGATCCAACCCCTCGTTGGTTGCAATACCATGTTTATATTGCTCCCAATGTTTTCAAAACCGGACCGGTCATTGAACCGTTTTCAGGTCTGGTTTCTAGTTTGACCGATTTAATCGGTTGAATCGGTGAACCGATCGGTTCAAACAATAAAGAAGGTTTGATGAGAGGAGCAAGCTATAGGCATGGATTTTTTTATTTGGTGTTGATAATTTTGTAATTTTGTTAAAGTTAAAGGTTAAAATGGGTATAAGAAAGGAATGGGAATGGTGAAATTGGAAAAAATTGAAAGAAGATTGCATGAGAAATTGAACCGGTGATTTTTCTGGTTCCACCGGTTTTATCGGTTTTTACCGGTTTTATCGGTTTTTACCGGTTTTTACCTGTTTTTATCGGTTTTTAACCGGTTTTGACCTCAAACGGTTTTCTTATGTGAACCGAACCGTTTTTATCACCGGGTACCGGTCCGACCGGTTCAACCGGCCGGTCCGGTCCGGTTTTAAAAACCTTTCCCTCTCCGTGATGTTTCTGTGGTTGGGAACCCCGTGTCAAAGAAATCTATTTAAATGAAGGCCAAAACTCTATTTGGTCCTTTTACTTTAACAAAAAGCTTTTTTTAATCCCTCTACTTAAT